CGATTTATCACTTCTGTCTTACCATCCGAATCCGGGTGATAAGCGGAACTCATGTTTAGCTTCGTCCTTTGCAAATGAAAAAACTCTTACCAAAAATGACTAAGAAACAAAGGATCACGGTCACTGACGATGGACTTAGGAATTCCATGATGTCTGACCACTTCCCCAAAAAAACTTTCTGCCACGGACTTAGCTGTATATGGGTGTTTGATCAATATAAAGTGGTTGTATTTGGACAATCGATCCACCACCAAAGAGGATCATAGCCTTTAGATTTGGGTAAACCCAAGATAAAATCCATTGATAGGTGTTCCCATATCACATTTGGGATGTCGAGTGGTTGGAGCAACCCATTTGGAGACGTTGAACTGGCCTTATATCGCTGACATATGTCACAAGCCTTCACGAATTCTTGCACCGCAACGATCACTCCTGGCCAATATAAATTTGTGGCCAAGCAACGATAGGTTTGATAATATCCCGAGTGTCCCCCGGTAAGAGAGGTATGGAATTCCTTTAAAAGAGAAGGAATCAATTTCGATGTACGAGGAATCACCAATCTATCCTTGTAATACAACACATTGTGTTGAACCACATATCCGAGATGAGTACTTGGGTCGTTCGTTAAGTCACGGATAATCTTTTATAAACCCAGATCGCTACGCGCTTCCTCCATAAGTTGAGTCCCTTGGACCCAAACTGTCCCCAACATCAACGAAGTCAGCTCACCATCTTTTGCTCGTCGAGACAATGAGTCGGCAACCCTATTTTCACGACCCGGTTTGTACAGAATATTGAACTGATATCCCAACAACTTGGCCACCCAATTTTGTTGCCTGGGATTCGTAATACGTTGTTGCAGCAAGAACTTGAGACTCTTCTGATCTGTATACACACAATTTAGTCCCCAATAGACACGAACGCCAATGCTAAACAACTAACACCAGGGCCATAGTTTCACTTTCATTCGCCGACTTCGCTAAATTTTGCTCACTCAACGCCTTACTGAAGTAAGCAATGGGTCTTTGTTGTTGCATCAAGACTGGCCCGATGCACCGTCTCGAAGCATCGCATACGATTGTGAAGGTAATCGAAAAGTCCGGTAAAGCCAACACCGGAGTCGTGACCATGGCTCATTTCAACTCATCAAAGGCTGTTTGAGCTTCCGTACTTCAGCTGAAAGCGTCCTTCTTGGTTAAATCTGTCAACGACTTGGCAATACTACCATAATGACGAATAAACTTACGGTTGTAACCCGTACGGCCCAAAAATCCACGTAGGCCTTTTAGTTGTTTCGAAACTGACCGCTCCAACACAACCGATATCTTCTTAGGATCCATGGCCACTCCTTGGCCGCTAATAATGTGTCCCAAATAATCAATAGAAGTTTGTCCAAACGAACATTTTTTTCTCGATTGACCACAAAATGATTAGAGAATATAACTTGAAGGGCCGTGCTCAAATCTTCCAAGTGTTGGAACCACGAAGGGATGTAAATCAGGATATCATTAAAGAAACCACGACAAATTTCCGTAAATAAGGCCGAAAGATGTCGTTCATAATGGCTTGAAAGGTGTCCGGCGCATTAGTGAGGCCAAAAGGCATCACTAGATACTCATAGTGGCCGTCGTGGTACCAAATGCTGTCTTCTCGATGCTGTTGGGTTTCATGCGAATCTGATTATACCCCGATTTCAAGTCCAATTTCGTAAAAGAATGGGCTCCCGTCAATTCATTGATGAGTTCTTCGACAACTGGAATTGGAAATTTGTCAGGAATGGTGGCCTTGTTGAGAGCACGATACTCTACGCACATTCGCCAAAAGTTGTCTTTCTCTCGAACTAAAATTACCGGGCTCAAGAAGGTACTTTTACTAGGACAGATCATTCCTAAAGAAAGAAGTTCCTTCACCTGCCGTTCAATCTTCGCTTTCTGAATATGCGGGTACTGGTATGAACAACCACAAATCGGGGAAGTAGGGGATACTAACGAAATGCCATGATCTTAATTACGAGGAGGGAGATCTGTTGGGTCGTGGAAAACAACCATAAATTGATTGAATAGGCGTTGTAAATCAGCCTGCTGCTCCTTGGATAACATATCGTCCCGTTTATCGTAATCCACAACATGTAACCGACCGGTAAATCATTACGAGCTTCTTCCAAGGATAACCAAGTGTGGAGGGAAGCTTGCTTTACCTTCGAATCAGATAACTCTTGGATACAAACTGATTTCCACCCAACTAGAACTGCATCGATTGATTTTTCCAATTATGCACCACCTCTCCCAAAGTTTTTAGCCACTCCATACCTAAAACTAGGTCTAAATGATCCATTTCGAAGAGCAAGGCATCCACCACAAAATCACAACCACTAATCAACACTGGTAATTTTAAGCACCGTTGATTCACAAAAATCGTATGCCCATCTCCCAATTTAATATTGATACCAAAGAAAAATTGAGAAGATATTATCAACGCCGTGACCAGTTTACGGGATACAAAATTATGAGTTGCCCCACTATCCACCAAAATTACAATCGGTATTCTCGAAATGGCCCCTTCGATCTTCAAGGTTTTGCCCCCTGCCAAATATCGCGAGTTGTTGGGACCGTCAAGCTAACTTGGAGGTGCAGTCTTGTAGTCAATTCTTTCTATTTTTTAATTACCAATGGGGAATCTTTCTAAAAAAATCTATCAACCACTCACAAGACCACCGAGATCTTCGACTTAGATAACTTATGCCACAGCATTTATGTGGGATTGAGTTGGTACTAACATGAGGGAAAACATTCCTCCAAACATGAGAGCTTAAATCAGAAAGAAATAGGCTTAGACACCACATCCAATGTACACGCTTCCCTTTACTCCATACCATAGGGCCTTTTCATCAGTTGCAGGGTTTGGTGGCCCGAAATTGACTTGGCTTCGCCAAAAGGCCTCATCTATTTGAATTGATTTACAGCGCCTATTTTCAAGCTTATAAAAGAGCAGCTTCGTGCCCCTGTTCCGGTCCCCCTTGGGGTTGGTAAGGCGAAATGGGGCCACCCTAGCCCATTGAGTGCTCTGGCCGTAGGGGACTCAAGCCTTCGTCGATTGAGAGGAGCCCCTCGCCTCGGATTCAGCCGTAGCTAAGGATCCATGAAACTCCAGTACGGTACACAACCCGAGCGGCGGTGATTCCTCGTCGCCACCCAAACTATCTTCAGACGCATCCATGGTCCTGATTTCACCACCATCATCAACAATTTTATCTTCAGCCAACAATAGAACCCTCAATTTACCTTCAGGACAATTGTGAGCTAGACCCAAAGCTTGACCACAACGAAAGCATAGACCCTTCTTTCGCCGATCCTCCCATTCAATACGAGTAAGAGAACGAAAACCTCTATTCCGATTTCCTACAGTCGATGAATCGGAGAATGGGACTGGATTAGGTTGTGTAGAGGAAACAAATCGATTGGGCTCCGATCTATTGGACTCAAGTCATGATGTTGGGCCTTTGTCATTAAGCTGAGTACTAACAGGTCCTTTAAAATCAAGCCGGCCCAAGGAATGCTTCAGATCTGGTCGTAAAGTCGATCCAGAACCACTCCCATTGCTCTGATAGCGAAATTGAGACTGGGAAACACTAATCACAGACGGATGAAAGATTTCCTCAACGTCTTTGGCCAAATACATGGCGTCCAGACGAGATTGAGGACGATGAAGTTGCACCCAACGTTTTACCTTATCGCGTAAACCCGCGATGAAGTATCCCAAGGCTTGGGACTCCGGTAAACGAGGAACTAACGACAATAGATATTCAAAATCTTCGATATATTCATGAATGAAATTTACCTCTTGGCTCTTGAAGCATTGCCAATTGCTCATAAGGATTTTGAATCTCCAAACTATTGGAGCGTTGTAGGAGCTCTTTGGTAAATTGATCCCACGATAATGGCACATAAATGTCCCTCACGATGGTAAACCAGTGTTGAGCTACCCCTACCATGCTCAATTGTGCCAGACAGATACGTAGTTGTGGAGAAATCCCATGGATCTCAAAGTAGAGTTCCGCCTTTTTGATCCATCCTTGAGGATCGAAACCAGAAAACTCAGGCAACTTCACCTTCTTTGCTGCCCAAGGAAGGTGATCGTTCGATAATTGCTCCCCTCCCTTATCAAAGGAAAAGTTGGATTTCTTTTGAGAGAAGAAATCCGATTGATCCTCCTCAAAAAATACTAGATCGTTCACCAATATCGGTACCCGATGGCTTACCTTGTTGTTTCACTCAATTCATCACGAATTTGCAAAACTCAGCCTGTTCCACTTGATCCAATTCCACAGAATGTATTGCCGATTTGATCTCAGTTACATCTGATTGAAGTTCTGAATCTGTTCCTCATGATGATCCAATCGAGCTTGTTGAGAACGAGTTTCCATGGAGAATTCCGACTATTCAATGGTAGGTCGGACCAATGATAAGAACTCAAACAATTTGGAAGAATGAAAGGATTAAAAGGAAAGGGAAATCAACAATTGATTATAAACGAAATTGGAAACTTACAGTTGAAAGAACAAACACGACTCTAGGGAAAACTTCCCTCTCTCAAAGCCACAACTAAGAGCCTAACTCAATTAACAAGAAAAATCACAATGACCTCATGCTACCTGCATTCCCGCCATTTATTTGACACGCTTTCAATCTGTAATAGCTAATTGGGACCAGCCCTATCTTCCACTCTTTTGGGCTGTCTGGAATAAACATTCAACACTTTGGGCTTGGGTAAAGATTGGATCAGATTAGACGGATCCGTATCACGGCGGATTAGAGTAGTTGATTGCTTGTATCTTTGCTTTCTTTTATAGTTCTGTCTTCAAAACTTATAGTTGTGTTGGAATAACCTTATCACAGTCTTTGCTTTCCATCATTTATCTATCTCTTGGTAAATCTTTTTCATAGGTGCTTTTTTCTGATGATAAAACCAAACCGTCTAATGCAAGAGTGTTCAAATTTTAGGGACCAAACATTTGGAAGATCAGATTTATGCTGAGTTAAGAGGCCGCATTAAAGAGGATGATATATCTGCACCTATACGCAAAGGGAATTACTACTATTATGAGCGGACTTTGGAGGGGAAGGAGTACGTACAACATTGTCGACGCCTTGTAGAAAATGGTGGGGCTGTACCATCTGTTCACGATATAATGCCAACTGGATCAGAAGCTCCTCCGGAGCATGTGATTTTGGATGAAAATGTGAAGGCTAAAGAACATGCATATTACAGCATTGGTGCTTTTCAAGTGAGATTAAATTTTCTTTCTGCAACCTATGCTTTCATCTTTGTTGTTCTCCCAAACACCTAGCACAAACACAACAAAGGAAAAGGCATTTAAGACAGAAACTGAAATTGTAATCCTTTTTTAAATTGACTTTTTGCTCCATCTTTAGGTTAGTCCAAATCACAAATTGGTAGCATATGCAGAAGACACTAAAGGAGATGAGATCTATACCATCCATGTCATGGATGCTGAGACTTGCAGACCGGTGGGTGAGCCCTTGGTTGGTGTAACGTGTTATCTTGAATGGGCAGGCGATGAGGCTTTGCTATATGTCACCATGGATGCGATTCTCAGGCCAGACAAGGTAATGACTTTACGCCGAGTATAATAATCGTTTTTCTAGGTTCTACAACTAAAATCGAGACTTGATTTTAAACTTGGGAAATTGTTCGTTTAAGCATTTTCGTTCATCTTATCTGGTGCTTATCAATCCGTTGAAGCTTCATGCTGTCTTTTATGTATGTTCTGTGTTATCAAACTGTTGAAGCTCACTCTGTGTTTTTGTGTACATGCCTGCCTCACGTCTCCAATTCTCAGTGAGTAGGTCGATGCAGCTGTGCATATGCCTGTTGGTATGCGATAAGTGTGTAAAAGAAGCAACAGTGTCTTAATAAGAAGCTAAAGGAGAGTTGGTTGACAAGTTGTCCACTTACTCCTGAGTGCCAAGAGTACTCAGAGGTGGGTGCACCGTCATTATGATAGTTGAATAAAAGATAAAAGCAGAAACATAACTTTTTACTGGTTGAAGCAAAATTTCGTATTAGAAAGATGAGCAGTCTTTTGAATGAAAGAAATACAGAGAACAAAATTGCATTGTTATTAAATGCTGATTTTGTAAAGAAGTTCTATATAAACAGTTTCATGTCTATGATATTTTATAATCTAAGTAATTATTGATAAGGTATTATCGAAGTATATTAAATATAAATGTAAAATTCGTATTGCGAATGACTTGTTACCTTATGGAAGTCATGCCAGGGGTGTGTCACCATGTTGCCCTGGCAGTTCGCTACCTTCATGACTCATCGTGGTATCTTAACAAATAGCAGATAGTATGATAGAGTATTAAGACCTGCTAATGGCTTGAGGCTTAAAGTCCTAGCGTCACACGATTTATCCCTATTCTCTCTGTTAGAATTTGCTGTTAAGCAACTGCGATATTGCCTGTGAGTTCTGAAATTGTTGGAATATTTTGCTGTCCCTTTGTTTCTCATTTCCAAGAACCTGAGCTGGTTTTCAAGCGAGGAAACAGGTGAGAAACCCAAAATAAGCATGCCCCTTGTGCCCAATGCACCAAAGGTTCTTTATGCCTTGCTTGCAGGATAGATTACTAGTTATTATTATGGATTCTCTTGCTTTCCTAAGTTGTCCGTAGGTTTCTATACTTTCATCTATACGATATATCTACTACAGATTTTATTGGCTGCCAAGTATTCTGTGAGAAAACACTTGCCAATAAGGAAATGCAAGAGATGGGTGCGTAGCAACCACCATGCTAACCAGAAAGGGAGACATTAGCTTCAGTTTTAGCCTTATATATTACTAATATCACAATCAATTTTACGACATAATCTTTGGTTTTTACAGGTGTGGTTCCATAAGTTGGGTACAAATCAATCAGCAGATGCATGTCTTTATCATGAAAAGGATGATATATTTTCTCTAGATCTTGAAGCTTCTGACAGCAAAAAATATCTGTTTGTTGGATCAGAAAGTAAAACTACCAGGTCTATGTTCTATTTTGATATCTCAAAGCCTGAGAACGGTCTTGTGGTTTTGACACCTCGGTCAGAGGGCATTGATACATCAGTCAGCCATCGTGGCAATCATTTTTTCATTAAAAGGAGAAGTGATGAGGCTTTCAACTCAGAACTGCTAGCCTGTCCGCTGGACAATGTAAAGGCAACTACAATTCTTCTTCCTCACAGAGAAAGGTACCACTGTACTTCCATAAGTTGTTATTATCAAGGGGCCCATATGCTTTAGCTTGAGTGCAAAGTATGTGTTCTTCCTTGTCGACTCAAAGGTATTTATATTTCATGCATTTAATTTGTCCACCACAAATGATGAACACTTTTAAGAGATAAAGCAAATTACTTTACACAATGGCATGATCATAGATGGATATGCCAAGGGTAGCTCAGATAGTTAGTTAGTTATGGTGCAAAATGAACAAAGCTCTTTAGTTGTTGCAAGTATGAAAAAGTTCTTTTTGGAGATCTGCAACAAACGTGAACAACTGTGCAGAGAGTTTATTAGTTCTCCAAAATTGTAGTGTAAGCTGTAAGTTCCTTATAGCATCACCTAGGCTACCTAACCACCTTGACCTCTGTCCAAATTAGATCATACCTGATACATGATGAGCAGTTGGTCAGGTAATTGCAATGAACATACAATTCCATGAAGTTTTTAGCCTAAGAGCATTTCAACTGGCAACAATGTATGTCTGGTATGGTCAATGGTATCATTGAGCACTCTAATTTGCCATGAAGTGAAATTTTCTATTCTATTGTTAATAATTTGAACTTAATACCTGGGGAGAACCCTGAATATGTGTAGTAGACAAGTAAGGCCCATGGGCCTAGATATATAAACATATGAAAACCTAACTTGACCGTATTTATCTAATTCTATCTCATGACACTCATGAACTAGTTGGAAAATAGATATTCTATAGTTCCAACTTGGCATGATAAAAAATAGCGAACTTTTTGAACATAAATACTGATGGAAAAACAGAAATGATATTAGCAAAACAAAATTTGCTCTTTAGAAGTCGAACAAGTCTATTCCTTTTGCATTTTTCAATCATGAAGATAATAGGAGGTGCGGAACAACCAACAACTCATTTTTATTAGCATCAACCCAAGGAAAATGAACAAGTGAAGCAAAAACAAAGTCCCTTCAAAATAATGGACGGAACATATTCAATAAGGTAACCAGCAAAAGGGGCTTGTGTGTGGGGACACCTCTTCTTTTAGCACTATTCATCTATATCCTTAAAAGCTATTCACCCATCTATAGAATATGTAACATAAATAAAGAAGTATTCATTTAGCACTGTATGCAGTTGGGATTTTAGTTGTGAAACTGCTAACCAAACCAGAATTGTGTTTTTTTTGGCCTACACCTCGATAAATTTACTCTTTAATTTAATCTTGCAATTCGCATCAGACTATCATCGTATAACTCCATGCGCCTTATGCTGATGGGAGCAATTCTAAGGCACAAAAATTAATTGTCCAATGGTGTCCGTTCTTGGAATATAACCGTAGGCAATTTATGTATTTCCGTTCCTATGATCCAACTTTCCTTTTCAGCTTTCAACCTCTCCTGGAATGTTTTAAGCACAAAAAGGGACCTACTGTACATTTTACCGGAGAATTTTTTCCTTAAAATTGATGGATGTTTAGTCTACACTGTCCCTTCAATTTGTCTTTCTAAATAATTTTCTACTGTTATTAATTTTTTTACCAGCCTCATACTTCTCCCTCTCTTATTTTGTCTTTCTTTTCCTGGCTGTCTTGTTCCAGCATAAAAATACAGGATGTAAAGCTTTTTAGTGACCACCTTGTAGTTTATGAGCGTGAAAAGGGCCTACCTCGGGTAACTTATTACTCTCTTCCCGCTGTTAGCGAACCACTTGAAAGTCTCCAAGGTGGTCGAGCTGTTGATTTTATTGATCCTGTTTATTCAGTGGATCCAGCAGAGTCACAATTTTCCTCAAGTTTATTGCGGTTTTGTTATAGCTCTCTGAGAACGCCCCCTTCTACATATGATTATGACATGAATACAGGAGTTTCAGTTCTGAAGAAAATCGAAACGGTAAGTTACATGATGGTAGATATATTATTCAACCTAGTTTACTTTCTCTTCTTTTTAGGCCTGCCAGAATTTCATAATCATGGAGGTCTATTTAGTTACTTTGTTACACCTTTATTGTGATTCCTGTTTTGGGTTCTTGTTATGTCTGCTACATACTCCTCACTGGGGTAATCATTTACAATCATTCCTTCCCCTATCTGGAAAGGCTGTGCATCATGTCAAACGATGCTGCAAGATTAATTCTGTCAGGGGAAGCTTTTGAGTGGTGGAGCAGTGAAGGAACTAAGGCCCAGACAGTCAATAAGAATCAGGACTATAGTGACACAAAACAAAGAATGAAAAACGATATCCATTAATGCTGGGCTATGCCACTGGCAAACGCAAACTCATGTGGTTATCCCAAGTCCTAACCAAGGCTCTGGTACTATGAAGCAAATTAGGGTTTTCCAAACTTGTGCTATACTGCTATAATATGACTGAGAATGATATGAATATGGGTAAATTGGCCTAGACTACAGCACTGAAGTAATAAGAAGAGTACATTATATCTATTTTACAGGCTATAGCAAATACCACCACTAAACTACCTTAAAAAAGAAACATAATTAGATCATCTTCTAGCAGTAAATGTCCTAAAGGTATGCCAACCTAAATGCTAAAATCCTGAACCCCCAATGATTTTTAAATAATAATGAATTACAAATTGGTCTCTGAACAATATAATTTCCATATATTGATTTCTTTAAATTTCCATTAGTGCCCTTGTATTGCTGAGCTATTGTATTATAATCTCCTACAAGTTGAGATGCATGTGTAATTGAGAGCTCTAATCCTTCTTGTGCCTAGTCGCTCCAGAATGATCTCATTGAAGTTCATTCTATTCTCAGTCTGCTAGGATTTAGATCGAAAGGAGCAACAGTTAAGCAAGCCATTAATCGGCTTTATTACCATGTTTAGCCACAACCTCATATTAAATACTTGGATGTTAGAGAGAAGCATGGGCTATGCATATCAGGTCAACGCTTCTCATTTCTGATCGGTGGTTGCTTGAGAGACTTTCTCGTGTATCAGAGTACTAAAGTTTTGCGCCAACATATTGTAGGAAGCAAATGCCAAAAGAATCATTCCCTTGGTCTTGAGTATTTAGAGCTCATATATGATATAAGCTGTAACTGTAGGGTTCACTGAGAGTGATAAGAGGAAATGAGAAAATGATTTCCTTTATACAAGTTAGCAACTTCTACATACAATATATGCTATATGTTGAATATTACATATTATATGTTCTGAAAATAGAACATCAGTTACTTAGGCATTTCAAAGTTTGATAAGGTTTATAGATCATAAGGACTTAAAATTCTAGAGCATTACTATCAAATTCACAGTTTTCATCCCTAATACACTGAAAAATTTCCTTACTGCTTTACAAATGACTAATCATACCGGATGCATTGGTGCAGACTTGGTCAATTGTAACAAACATAACAAGCTTATTATAAAAGTAAAAAAGTAATGTGATGGATTCGTAAGTCACTCTATCTGCAGTCAGATTTTTTTATCTGATCACAGGATGAGAGGAAGTTATTACATACAGTTTGTTTTATTTTTTTTCTAATTACATCAGAACATAACTCTTTCTGGAGGATGTAGTCTTTCTCTCATATTGTTGAGCATGTTTTACATTCTCCACTCGTTTTTTTTGTCTTTTTAGGCAAAAAAATCTAATTATTAGGTCTAATGGACCACCTTTTGATGGAATCAGGTATTGGGTGGTTTTGATGCCTCAAACTATGTAACCAAAAGGGAGTGGGCAATTGCTCAAGATGGCACTCATGTTCCTATATCAATTGTCTATAGAAAGGATCTGGTCAAGCTTGATGGGTCGGATCCACTGTTGCTTTATGGTTATGGATCGTATGAGGTAATGGATGTGGTATCTTTTACTTCTATATTATCTGTTTTTCTCTGTATGTATGCATTATGTTATTTCTTATAACATGGTCTTTATATATATTTATATAAAACTCATTCATTTATTTTTATTTTTTTTATAAAACAGGAAAATGAATTATTGTAAAAAAAATGTTTATTCAACAAAAAAACGTGTTCGCCAATATTATTTTTATTGAATAAAAACCCAAAAGAAAACCATAAAATGAATATAATATAATTTGGTGGATTTGTGGTTTGAGTATTGGTAGAATTTTCCGTATTTGGAGAGTTTAACAAATGCACTTAATTATTGGGACCCATAACAATACGTAATGGAAGAGCTGATAGTGTTTAAAAGTGTATTAAAAGATGAAATGAAATACAAGTATTTATGGAAATAAAAAAGAAAATCAAGGAAGTACAATATTAATAGCTTTAAAAAAATGGAGCTTTGACCGTCTCGTGCAGGTTATAACATACCATCCTAATCAACCCCAGAATGGGGGTTTTACTCCAAGGAGCGATTCGTGGGGGGGATGAACCCCCTAGTGCACATGTCCTAGCTTTTCACCTTCCTTGTCGAGTTAAGTAAGCCTGGAAGGAAAATGAAATGATACAAAGAATAAAATAGAGGTTGAGTGAAGGCTCAAGATTTTTAATTCTTATGCCTGGGTATCTATCAGGATCACTTGCTTGAACAGTTCCTTTGGTAGTTTCTCGTTGGATGGTATAACATGAAGAGGTTTCCTTTCCCAGGTGACTCACTTCTTGAAGGAATCTTCTAGTCCCACGAAGGTTCTCGGTCTCTCTACAAAAACCAGGACATTTACAAGTATCAAGAGTATTCAAGAAAGATACAAAGATATTAGAGTGCTATGATACTTTGGAGAACACTAGACATCTCTAAAACGACCTAGAATTTTCTAGGTCTCAATCCTTCCTTGGAGAATGTTCGCTTTCTGCCTTGTAAGTGCATACTGGGTGTTAGCGTGGCGAATCCGAACCTGGAGACTGTAGGGTGTAATTCTTGATTTCAGTAGAGTCTCACATCTGTGGTAGGCTGTTGATAGTAAAAGTCTGTTAACACAAATATAAATGTGATATGTATTTGCTGGTAATACATAAGCATGATAAAGTCTGACATCTATGCCATGCATTAGATAACTATGGATCATCTTGTCCCTACCTATTAAGGCATAACTCATATGCCTCAGGCCTTTGTATAATTGTATCTGCGATGTTTCAAGCTGCATGTTCTTGATATTCTCAAACTGAATATCCTTGCCCTCACGCTGCATATTCTTATGTTGTTAAATTGATCCTTGTATGTCTGAGTACGAAAGGAAGAAGGCTGTCCTGGAGGTGTTTGGGGTGGGGGAGAGTAGTTCTGGCTTGCATCTGGATCTAGGAAATGGAAGCTAGGGTCCAAACAGTTGAGAAGAAGAAGTTTGGAAAGGCAAAAGATGGAGAGCAAAAGCAGAGGCCAGGAGAGCCTGGGAAAGAAGAGGCAGAGGCTGGCGCCTGCCGGAGCTTAGAAATGAAGGCTGCAAGTCGGGGCTTGAAGGGGTTCAGGACTACTAATATTTTGTAAATATGATATTGAATTGAATAGAGTAAATTTATTGATTTGACCACAAAATTGTGGAAATAATGCGGTTAAATTGGTTGTTTTATCACGAATGAGAATTCGATAACAGTTATCTGTACTTTAGGACTTCTCCAAGAAGATTCAAGTTCACTTGCACTTTTCTGTAAGTAATGTCTTTTCACATATACATGTTGGTTCATTTTTTATCTAATTTTGACTTGTAAGCTAGAAATCATTCAAATTGGTTGCACCAAGATGATAGCAACCGATTAGTCATATATATTTTATAATCGAAGCAAATAAGCCGTGCTTTGCACGGGTCACCACTAGTATAACATCAATAGATGCAGTCGGTCATTGTCATTTGTGTATGTCAACTAACATAAGCTAGCATTTAGGAGTTCTAACAAAATTGTTTAATATCTTGTAGAAGTAGTTTTATAAGTATTTCATGTTTGTGGTAAGATTTAAACAACATGATGGATTTGGAAGTGATGAAGATTTGTATGCTTTGAGTCCAGTAACCCTGATCAAGTTGTGCAAAAGCATTACTCTATCCCTCATGACAGTTGCAACAATTTCCATTTTAGCATGTCCCATCTTAATTGCAAAATTGTCTTTTTGCACCAACTTTTAAGTGAAAATTACCTACTTGTCCCCAGATAATCATTTCAAAACTCTGGGATATTGATTTTGTACGGAGATTTGATTCAATTTTCAAGCTAAAAATATTTTCAAATACCAGTCTTTTATTTCATATGATGGTAGGATATCGAATAGTTTGTGATTCAGAAGTGAAAGAAATCATTTTATCTACTAATAGTGGACAAATTCAACGATATATTAATGTTTTTGCAGTACCAATTGCTACCATTTTCTGGGAGTCCTAATTTTTCCAGCAACTAAGAGAATTAGTTCTTTAATTTGAAACATATAGTGGAGAAATCTCCGTTCTATAGTAAAATATAGAGAATCCCCATTTAAAAGGTTTGCTAACTAATACTGGCCTGGGTGGATAGGATGGATTTTGACCTCCACACTAGAGGGAGTGGTGACTTTGAGAGGTAGAGAGATTTTAAGTGCAGTATTATGCAGGGAACTCCACCACAGAACACAGAGATGATAAGGACAGTGGAATAGCAACCAGAAATTTCTTCCTGAATTGCTTATTACTTCTGTTGGGGTGTTTTACTTCTAAGCAATTTGATACTGCCATGAGAGAACACAGGCTGCATATTACTCGTGTTGTTGCATCACAGGTAGGTGAACTTGTTGCAACCAATTTTTTCCGCACAACGGTAGACATGACATGGCTTGCTTTTGCACATCTAAAACTCACGTGCTCTAATCCTACTGGCCTGGGTGGATAGGATGGATTTTGACCTCCACACTAGAGGGAGTGGTGACTTTGAGAGGTAGAGAGATTTTAAGTGTAAGCAGAGATCTTTGTTCAAATTCTTGGTCTTGCAGGTTGGTGAGAAAAGTCTCTATGACCTGATTTAGTCTGAGAGATATTATAATTTGATAATTCTAAATTGGAATTATTATTACTTAATATCTATTAAGTATAGATCTAATTTCTACATGAAAGATTTGAAAGGAAATGGATGAGATATTATTATCATTCTTTTCTTCATTTTTTGCTCGTTTTCGAATTTCATTTACAAAGCAAAAAGCTTCTTAAAAATTCATTATATTCTTAAAAATTCATTATATTGAAGGGTTTCTTAGAATCCCATCCAGCAGGAGCAGGGATTCTTAGTCAAAATAGGAAGTCAGGCCATCATGCCTTGTTCTTCTATACAAGTTGTGAAACATATGAATATTGGACTCATAAACGGGCTTCTGCACCAAGCCAAATATCCCGGTTTCGTGAGGAAAAATGAGGGACACCTATGTCATTTTGCTAGGTTGTGAAGATTAGAGTTTATGATGATCGCGAACTTTATACCAATGCTCCAGGGCTTACCCCGAGTATTGGTGTACTATCCGTGTGTACGGCCACAAATGTCTTTATTTGATATTTGTTGTTGTGTAATACTATGTTATCTTGTATATCTGTAGCCATATGAGAAAAAAGTTACCTTGCAAGTAATTTCGATTTTCATGTCTATTTTGTCATCAGATTTGCATGCTTGAACTTTTACTTTTCAAGCCATATAATTCTTATCTGTCCTGCAGATATGCCTGGATCCTAGTTTCAAAGCATCAAGGTTGTCTTTGTTGGACCGTGGTTTTATATATGCAATTTCCCACATTCGTGGTGGAGGAGAAATGGGGAGGAAGTGGTATGAAAATGGGAAATATCTCCAGAAAAAGAATACTTTCACAGATTTTATTGACTGTGCCGAGTATCTGATAGAGAAGAAATATTGTACGAAAGAAAAACTTTGCATCAACGGAAGAAGTGCCGGGGGATTGCTTATTGGTGCTGTTCTAAACATGCGTCCTGATTTATTTAAGGTTGCCGTTGCTGGAGTACCATTTGTAGATGTTGTGACTACAATGCTCGATCCAACAATTCCTCTAACAACAGCAGAATGGGAGGTGATCTATATTACATTTTGGAAACTGAAGTGCTTTTATGCTTCTGTTTTCGTTGCATTTACCTGTTGACTAAATGTAGGTTAGGAACTTGGGCTCTCCATTTGGAAGATCTTACCTGTTAAATGATTCTGAAAAGGATAAAATCACAATATTGTCAATAAACAATTCTAACTTCAGTTTGACAAAATCTATTTTCCACTTGACATCTATGTTGTGTCAATTTGTGTGTTTACCATATCTCCTGCAATTGTGGAACTACCATTTCAATCCTGAGATTTAACAATATCTTCCATAGTTTGATAAATATGCATGCAACAGCAGAACCGCCTTTGACCATATAAATGCATCCTAAAGTCTCTATGTCCTGCCACAGCACTGCTTCTATATCCAAGACTGGGATCACAACTTGCTCTGTATCCCATATCAGTACTTTAGTTTTAATATGATTCCAGCTCTGCCAGCAGGGCAACTGTCTGAATCATTTAAAGCTTCTTCTCCCTGAGTAACCCCTTGACTTCCGCTCAGGTTTGGGGTGCTGCAGCAGGGAATTTGAGTCTTGGCAGAACCTTCACATTTGTTCTTTCTCCTTGCGAACTTTCTCCATTTTGCTGGGCTGAGAGCAGAGGTACCCTCTACTGCTCAGACCCTTACCTGGTGTACATGTGGTCTTACCTCGTTTATGTGATGTCTATCTCAACTCTCCTCACTCACATGTGCTTGATCCCAATTTGGCCTGCTTCTATATCTGCTCCTTATCGGGCAATTAATTATCAATTTTTATCCTCAAATATGATGAATAATCATGAAGTCAAGGGAGTGATCAGTCCTGAGATAATTTCTTAGCCACTTACTGGGTTTAGTGGTCCATGTTTGTGGAAACCAACCTTAAAGGACTAATGGAATTGCATTATTGAATTATAAATCCAGCAGATAAAATGTCTTGATTAGGAGGGTGATGGTGGTTCTTTTATGATGCTGTGGAAAGACATTTAACCAATATACCAGCCATGGCCACAAATTGTCTACCAAATAATAAGCTGTTGTAAATACTCCGGTTCTCATTTGGAAACCATCCTGGTCCTGTGCTTAGAGTGTACAATAGATAGGTGGATTCAGCATTAACAGAACGTTTCAGCTTAAGGTGTACAAGGAGTTACATGAGCTATTTCAACATTGTCCTCGCCTTAAAGTTCACCTTGGATGCCACACATAAAGCTTTTTATACTTATCATCATTTGATTTTTTTCATCTTAGTATGCTCATTTTCTCACTTGTACTAGTCAGTCTTTTAACCATCTCCGTTTTTAATTAAAATCACCGCCTTTGTTAGATATTTCCATCTCAAGGATTGTCATCTGTAGTCTAATGCTATTTAGCTTCACGTGGCAACATCTTCTTTATACTTGTGCAATCCCCTCTTTGTGCTATGGTAACCTACTTGCCATCCTTAATCTTCTTTATACAAACTATTTATAATGGTAAAAAATATAGTTATATCTGAATTCATTGATTTTATGCAAAATATTGTGGCATAACATCAATCTTCATCTGCATATATTCTTCAACAAAATGGAGTTACTGAATGAAAGAAACCCATTTTCAGTGAAGTTGTTCTCAGAAGTTGACTATAGGAGCTGTAGGGAATAGATGGTGGTTTGTATAGATTTCTTTTAATGCCGATTTCATGTGGAGCACTTCTTTCTTTTATTGCAGGAATGGGGTGATCCTCGGAAGGAAGAGTTCTACTTTTACATGAAATCATATTCACCAGTTGACAACGTGAGCACCATTATCCCTTCTTCAGTTGCTATTTAAGTGAACTGAAAAGTTTGGAGTCCCGCCATATGTAGATTATCGAATGTTCAAAGTTAGCTCATTACTTTTTTTAAACAGGTGAAGGCTCAGAATTATCCAGCCATACTTGTTACTGCTGGATTAAATGGTAGGTTGCTGTTTCTAGAGTTGTAGATCTTATTTCTATGGACATGCACAAAAAGGCCTGAGCTGAAGCCCGGTCCAAAAAAGCCCGAACCACAGGCCCATGCCAGGCATAAAGCCAGATCAGGCAGCTTTTATTTTTCCCAGGCCTGGGCTAAGCCCAGCCTGAAAAAGCCTGGGTAAGGCCCAGTTTTTGGTCCCAAGCCCTGCCAGGGTCAAAGCCCAGGCTCGGTCTGGAAAGCCCCTTTTTTGTTCTTTTGCTATGGATTAAATGATCTTTTTGATTCTCCTAGCCATTTTTTGTCCTTTTGTGGTTTTTTTACTTTCCCAATAATTTGACTATTTTACCCTTAAAACTATGGGTTATAAGGGGGTATTTTAGTGAAACTTATTTTAGATGAATTAATAGAAATAGAGTGTAAGTTTATTTATTTTCACACCAAAGTTCTCAACTCTCAAGATCTCTCTCCATCCTCGATTCTACTTTCTCTCCATTTGCGATATTGTTTTACAAAAACTCTCAAGTCATAATTCCATAGTAGGTTTTATACTATCATTATATTCATTTCATTTTTTTTATGTCGAAATTTTCGTATAATTATTATACTCTTGTGATTTTCGTATCATTTTTAAAGTTCTTGTTAATTGTTGTGTCATTTTTAAAATTCTTGTAATTGTCAATTTTAAAATTCCAGTAATTTCCCTATCATTCTTATAATCTTGTAATTTTGTATCATCTTTATAATCTTGTAATTTTTGTATCATTTATATAATCCTGTAATTTTCGGATCATATTAGATTTCCTGCAATTACTTTTTCATCTTTATAATCTCTTAATTTTTGTATCAGTTTTAAAATTCTTGTATTCTTCATATCATTTTCAAATTGTCGTTATTTTCCTATCATTTTAAAAAATTTCATAATTTTATATTATTTTATATTCTTGTAATTTTGTATTTAAAAAAATGTCTTCAAACCAAAATGTTAGCAACGTCGGTTCTTCTTACACCCCATGCTCTGTGACACAAAATTACACTTTTATCACCAACCACAAGTGTAAAAAGCCCGATACGTGGTTGGAGATGGTTCCTATATGCTTGCATAGGATGCATCTTTTATCTCGTCATTTAACCAGTTCCATTGCGTGTTCTGCAGATCCACGTGTACTTTATTCTGAACCTGCTAAGTTTGTTGCGAAGTTGAGAGAGATGAAAACAGATGATAATATATTGTTGTTTAAATGTGAGATGGGAGCAGGGCACTTCTCAAAGTCGGGAAGGTAATGATTTTAATATCTTATTGGCAAAACTTTTCCAAACTAAGCATCTTTAATAGCATCTTCTTTCTTTTTTCTTTCACTCAGCTGAGTGTTGCTTTCTTATAGTTCGTTCCAGGGGGCACTGGCAAGTGATTTAGATGTAGGACCTCTCACTTAGTGTAAAGCCCATTTACCCACTCGGCCTTGAGCCCGTTAACTCCCTAGCTTCTGGAAATATTCATAGCATCTTCGTGAGTGAAAGTAATATAATTACAGTAGATAATGAAGAGAAACTGTTGAACTTGAATGGGATGGCAATAAACAAGAAGTAATTGTAGAAGGGGGGGGGGGGGTGGAATAGAATTACAGGGACTTTTTTCAACTTTTTAATTCTTATTGATAAATATCAGAATTAACACACAGAGATACAATAAAGATTGTTACCACTAAATCAATAGGCGACCCAACAATCTCCCCCTATTTAATGATGACACAAACACTTAGAAAGAAATAAATACAAGATACATAAACTCTAAATTTTTTTGAGAAAAAGAACTTATAAATTGGGTGACCTATGTACATATTCTTTTTGGGTTTTTTTTTTTAACTGTAAACGTACATACAAAACAAATAATGAATCAAAGAGCAACAAATAAAGAATGAGGTAAATACTGAAATATAAAATGCATTTATACTAGACAATGAATTTAAATACTTACAATGAAGAAAATAGTTCAAGAAGTCACATAGATAAGATAGCAGTCATCATCTACTTCCATAACATTTGTATCTGTGGCTGCAAGAGCATCTCTTTTCTTCAGTTCATCTGAGATCAGGGTATAAAAGACTCTTCCGGCTTCACCAATTTTAATGATACTAAGGGGCCGTTTACCAATTTTTTTAGTTAAGTGCTGATTCGGGTAAGAGGTCTGACTGGAGTAAGTGCAGATTGGATTTTCTTGTTTACCAAACATTTTGTAGTAAGTGTTGATTGAGTTTATATCCCTCTTTCTCGAGTAAGTGTTGATTGAAAATTATTGTTTACCATATGTATTGTATTAAGTGCCAACATAAAATGTTATTTATCAAAAAAATTTAAATATAATTTCTAATTCTTTTTTGCTTACAAAAATATATTGATACTCAATATATTAACATATTATATATTTTCATAATTTAGAACAAAAAGTCAAATTTTTCAAAAGCAAAACCACCACCAAAATAAAAAAGACCAAAATAAGGACCAACAAAGGAAACAACAACAAACCATCAACAACGAACAAAAAGTCATTACAAGTCTTTAACATAATTGTTTGCGTACAAATAGTTCGCTTACATATATTAATTTCAAGCATTCACATTAATTGATTTGCAATTTGATCACGCAAATTAGTCATATATTCATTGCCTTGGGGACCCCATTGTGTTTCTTCAACATCTTCCTCGATGCTTTCTTCCTCCATTCCTTCGTCTTGTTCTTCGATGGTAAACATGTTGTTTTCAGCATACTCCATAAATAGTCGATCTTGAATATTGCATCTCCTTATAAAATTGTGAATTGGAAAACAAGTAATCACTACATCTTTTTGTATTGGGAAAGGGTAAGGAGCCATTTGTCTTAAAATTGGATATCTTGCTTTCAAGACCACGTATGCACGCTTGATGACATTTCTAAGTTGTGCATGAGCATGATTGAACCATTCTTCCTCAGTCAAGGCACGTCGGCGTCGAAAATCTGCTAACCAATCCTTGTATTGCGATAGGGGGTCATAAATCCATGAGTATTGGTATATGCGGCATCACAAAGATAGCTTTTACTTGCAACCACAAAATACAATTTAAAAGTATAAAACATAACGAGGTTTAAATGTTAAGAAAAAAAAAATGAAACATACTTGGTGGAGGAAACGGAAATCCTGAAGTTGGGTTAAATGCAACTTCTGTCAGAACTCGAGAATCATGTGCAATGCCTTCCCATCCAGCCCAAACTAATGTGAATATCATATTAAAATCACAAACCGCTAAAACATTTTGATAGCATTCACCTCTTCCTCTTTGTCTATACCTAGCTTGTTGACTAACGGGCACAACTGCATGTACCAAAGTTTCATCTAGCGCACCTATAGCCCCCTTTTTATGAAATAGAAAACATTAGAAAGTATTTATATATGTTAAGAATATTCAGTATATCAAGACAAAACATACCGGAAATGTTTCTTTGAGTCGTGTAAATCGCTCCGACATGTTTTGGGTTCCATCAAAGGATGTTGGCCCTACGACTTCTCTCGCAAATTCCATCATTCCTTTTAGTACTTAATGAAAACATTTATTAATGGTTCGCGTAGAGTGTTGAAATCTCCGTTTAACCATTTTAAAGTGTTCATTATGATCAATTATTGTAAAAAATATGGTCATTTTCTCTTCGACGCTCATATACCTACTTGAGTGCACCCGATTTTTTTCTTTAAAGTAATTCCATAATAATATGTAATGCATCACGTGACAAACATATCAATTGATGACATTGAGTATTTGATCCACTTAACAATTCTTGTGTATACACATGCCCACTCAATGCTGAAGTGTTGTCTCTTATCCTTTTTATTCTTGACGAAGATTTTTTTTTTCAAATACAAATAAACAACCACCACAATCAAAATTAACTTGTTCCTGTCCATAACCTTGCAATACAAAACACATATAATATTAACCGTCAAGAGTCCATACAAAGACCAAAACATCTTCCAAAATTCGAATGAAAAGGACAACATCATCTTTAAAGATAACATTGATCATAACATCATCGATAAAAGTTATATAAAAGCCAACAAACATCTTCCAAAGGGAGTTGGATCTATCGGTGGATGATCTAAAACCAATGCTCTATGCTAAACTGCTTTCTAATCAATCGGCGGATGCAGATTTGGTCGGTTTATTAAGACATTCAATTGAAGAAACCCATACAGTTAAAGCCACAAAGTTTCATTCTTTCCAAAGCATTGTAGTTTATAATTTCTCAAAACTTGGTTCTACAATTGCTTCCAATACCAAAGCCTGAACCCAAATGCAAAACTCCATTGATATCCTATCTGAAAGGGTATTAGCTTTGGAAAATACATGTTGAGCTCAAGCCACCTCTCTTAAAAGAAGGCATGATGATCAGGATGATCCTGATCACCATGAGGGAGAGATCAAGAGACAGAGGTTGGCTGAGACATCAACGGGTGGTGAAGGTGTTTCTGGAGATGATGACTCTGAGCATACTCCTACCGATCCTCAAAGCATTCCTGATACAACTCATGTGGTACACGATGCGACAGAGATATTTACGAAGAATTATGTACCATTTGCAATTCGTGCAAATGTTCCAGGCTTTGATAGAGCGAGAATCAAAGAGCCTTATCTCGAGGACATTTACTTTGGCGTTTTTGTTCGTCATCGGAAAGCTCTTAGTGTTGATAAAATTCTCGGTATTCACAAAGAAACATGTGAATATCGTATCGAATATAAACACTTTCTCAAAGCAAAACGTCTACCGATTAGTCAAGTGCGGACCAGACATTGAATTGTTTCTATCAAAAACATTGAAGCCAGTAGTCAGAGTCTGGTATCCAGTGTTTTTTGTGACGAGACAAGACGGCCATGTTTGGAGTTTCAGTGAAGCTGATTTCCCAAATCTTTTTCTTGAAGACTTAGAGCATCTCTATCACGAAATTCGCAATCAAACGGTCAGAAAGGAAGGAGTAGTCTTGGGCCTTGAAGCTATAAAACGTTATCTAAAATGTCATGTCAAGCTATCCCAAATCTTCAATCAGATTAATAGCAATCAAGAACAGAATATGAATCATAGAGAGAATTTTCACCAAAAGTATTTGTATTCAAATTCTTAGAAGATTACAAGTGATTTCAACTAACTACAAATTACAAGGAAAAACTATTTGTACCTACAAAGCATTAAAGAGAAAATTTACAAATGGGGAAACACTTGAATACAACAATTAAGCACAACTTAAACCCAACACTAACCTAAACAATCTTACATAGAGAAGAACTTACAAGAACAACACAAAGAGTACTTGTAAGGAAATGAAGAACACCAAGGGCCTGTTTACTTGTGGCTTAATGAGCTTAGCGGATAAATGGGCTTATTCGCACGGACTTTCTAGGCTGTTTACTTCGGGCTTAATCACTCAGAAATGGGCTTATTCGCACAGACTTTCTAGGCTGTTTACTTCAGGCTTAATCGCTCAGAAATGGGCTTATTCCCCCAGATGATAGAAGGAGCTTGTCCAGATTAAGCCGGCCAAAAGACTGCCCTACCCTTCCTTATCTTATCGTGCGTCTCCAAGAAACMCCCCGCCTCTTCTCCTCCATCGATCGCACATCTCTTCTCCATCGATCCAAACTGTTTACAGAACCCTAATCGAAGGCCTCTTCTCCATCGCTCACGGCCCTCTTCTCCTCCATCGATCGACAGGTTCTTCTCCATTGCTCACGACCCTCTTCTTCTCCATCGATTGACAGGCCTCTTCTCCTCCATCTATCGACAGCCCTCTTTGCTGTTCTTCAACGATTTTTGGATTTTTTTTATGTGTATTTGCTGTTTTATGGTTGCTGTTGATGCTGTTTGATGTTTGCTATTTATGTATTTGTTGTTTTATAGTTGCTGTTGCTGTTTGATAGAATCTATTTTAGGTTTGCTGTTTGCTGTTTATATAAACCCAAACACCTTGCTGTTTCTATTGATTTTGTTGTTTCCTATTGCTGTTAATTGTTGTTGGTTCAATGATTGGTTCAATACATAGCTATAGCTACTGTTTTGTGTTTAAAACACTTGATTAAATAGTTGGTTCCATTTGGGTTTATTCAACAATTATTAAACAGCGCGTAGTTCATCCTCAGGGGTAAATTGGTCATTTCTGTTATTCAAACTGTTGATTCAGATAGAAAAGTAAACAACAACATAAATTTATCCAGACAGACAAATTTATCCATACAGGACTTAATAGAAAATTTGGTAAACAGCCCCTAAGATTTTCTTCACACACAGGAGAGTAGGAGAGTAGAAGAAGAGGGAGCCGATTGCCTTGAGAAAGCACTTAGTAGTTCTTTCAAGGAAGTATGTTTGCATGGGAGATGCATATTGCCTTTTATACAACCTTCAACATTAAATGCATGGGGACACTTGTAACCTGAGGATAAGAAGGCAGGGGTTGACTTGACCATTGTTGATATATCATTTTCATCGTACACAGCGTGCATACAACACTGTTCATGCAGAGACAAACTTTTGCAGAGATATGGTCAGTCTATGAAGATCTTCTTTGGATGGATTAGTAGCTTCAAACAGCTACTTACAAATCTTCGGTGCATGAAGATCTTCCTTCAATCGGCTTGTAGCTTCAAAATATATTCAATCTTCAATCAGCTACTATCTACTCTGGAGTCTTGGTGTGTAATTTAGACAGTTGATCCACAGTACCGCATCGGTGACCTTTTGTCTTCATATCGGCTAGTCTTCGATTTTGCCAATGGCTTTAAGTATGTACCAAGACACCAATATACAAAGAAACCAATAACTACCAAGTGTTGATAGGATAGAGGAACATATCAGTGGGTCATCATCAAATCAATAGGTGACCCAACAGAAACTGACGAATCCTCTCCGGAAAAGTAACACCTGACATGAAGTATGAAAGTATCAAAGGTATTTTGTTAGAATATGTCCAGTACTTATATGTCCTGATTTGGAAGTTCTGTTCTGATATGTTTTACCTTCTTTTCTTGTTTATAGTGGTTCAGTCTTTTAAAAAATAAATTGTAATTCTGAAACTTCAAAAGAATGTGAATATTCCTAAGTGAGCACCCCTGAATGTGTAGTACGTTAGATAAGCCCGCAGACTTGGAGCAGATGAGCATATAAAGAAGCAAAACCCTAATAAAATATTAATGGAATATCCAACACCTGTTAGTGTCAATGTGAGGTATGCCCTATTTGTTCTACAACAGGAAACTATTGTTTGATTCTTGCTCTTTCACAATAAGAGCTTATCACCAACTAAAGATACAATCACCAATGGTGGACCTCTTACTAATAGCCTTTTTAAGAATGCTAACTTTATATTGTCCTTTGTGATATACTTATGGTGGAAAGCAATAAAGCAATAACTGTATAAGTAACAATCATGTAATTGAGCTTACGACATCTCATGTACTTCTTCAGATCATTGAGAGACTTCTGATATTCTAGCAATAACCTACTATTCTCAACCATAGGTGATCAATTTGGGTGATCAATTTGATTTGCATCCCCAAAAAGCACACTTGGATCAAGGCCTACGTCATCTTTGTGCTCACAAATGAGAGTTCTTCCTGAGACTATTTAGACCTAAATACCCGACTGCCAAAATCTATAACATATTTTGGTTCCCATTTAAACTCTTCTTATCGATTGTGCTTTTAAAAGATTGGATGACTAATATTCATTATTGATTTGGATAACCTGTGAAAATCAACCAGACCAAACTATTGACGTTGGCTTGAGAAAGTAACTTCATAATCAACGATAGAAAAAGTTTGGAGTAGCTCAGGATCGTTTTTGTAATGTGCATGTCTCCTACATGGTTTCGTACCCACTTGAAAGTACAATAATTTTGTAATGCAGTGGAGTTAAAATATTTGGGATAAATAACATTTTAGGCCATATATTTTAAACAAGCTGTTTGCAAACTTGCACTTAGGGTCGTTATGCATGGCCTTGGGTGCAACCATAAAGGAGATTGTCTACATTATGATGATGAATTATGGATGATCAATATAGTTGGAACTGTTAGAATTGCAGACCTACTAGAATTAGTAATTCTACAGCCCTGATTCCGGAATCTAGAAGATATTTAAGTGAATACTACATTCCTGGTATATGAATCTTGTTCGACTCAAACAAATGGCTAAATAATAGCGATATACCGTACCCTTAATTTCACTAGGTCACTATACTTCGAGTTATCTTTTGAAAAGCACTCAGCTTAGTAAAATCTTCTATTTTGGGACAAACATGGCGTGTTTATCACGCGACTTGTTGTTTTCTGTTGAGTTGGCATTTTTCCTTTTCAATACACTGATGTAGCATTTGATTTATATTTTCTAATAATGTCCATGTGCATCATTTTATTAAAAAATAAAGTAATTTACTACTTATAATTCTTACTGTCATTTCTATGCATTTGTACAAGTATCTAAAGCATTTGTACAAATAACAAAATGCACAAACATTTAAAGCATTGTGTAAAGGAAAAAGGAAATAAATATCCAATGATTTAAAACGCTTGTACAAGAAAATCAACCACCATCCATCTCCCCCAACCATCACCACTGTACGTTACTGTGACAATCTTTATCAAACCGAGTCAGCATTGAAACTCAAGCACTGACACACCAAGCCTTATCTTTATTGAACCCATTGCATTTACTGAACCTGTAAATCATCTTTCTTTATAACCAAGGTACATAATCTATATGTGACAAAGACCGATAGATGTATTTTCTGTCTGAGTTATGTTATTATAGTTGAATGCTCGTTTCCAACTCATCTGGTGGCCTCAATTTCATTTCTGGTAGAAATGTCCGATGTCTCTGGCTTTTCCATCGCAGATGGAGACAATTCTTTCTTTCTAAAGAATAAGATAATTATACTGCTTCTGGTGTGATCCTTCACTGTTGTTACCATCACTAATGTCCCTTGCAGTTGAGGCCCAGGTTGCAAGTAGTGAAAATCCTCAAGAAATAAAAAAACATCATATGAAATTTGGTGGGTGGCTGTATCTTTGTGCATTTTTTTTTTTGGGGGGGGGGAGGGGAGGAAGGCAAGAAAACCAGGGGGTGTGGGATTTAAAAACAAGAAAATTAATTAAAAACACGATTAATTATAAATTTAATTTTGATTAAAAATCCACATTCAGGCTTCCTGGAAAAAATTTCTTAACATAAAAGATTTTGGTAAGTTTGTTCTGTTACACAAAGTCGAAATACGTGACCTACATGGAAATGAGGGCAAGTATGCGACTCCTGCTCTACAATTGAATACAACTATAACTCCATGCTTGCACAACTGAAGAGAAACAGTCCTTTAGTCAATACTCATGCTGCAATGCTTATATGCATCATAATCTACTATTTCAAATTCTCAACCATTACCATATTCTTATTCTTAAAAAGTGAGTAATTAATCCCGTACCAATTTCTGTTAATGTTATTTATGTTTTCATTGATTTAACTTCAGGTTTGAGAAGCTTCAAGAGGATGCATTTACCTACACTTTCATTTTGAAGATTCTGAACATGGTCCCTGCTCTTGCTTAAAACCATGTTGCATCAAGTTTGTTGGTCCTATTCAACTGGGCTGTTGGATAATTGGGCAAAATGGCTTGAATTACAGTTGGAAGCTTCTTCAAGGTCACCAAATTTTAAACTTTAAGATGATTTTGCCTCATTAGTATGTATAGGTGGATCCAGAAAATTTCCGAGCAGGGCACAAGTACATAATAGAAAATATAGCAAAAAAATAATTATAAAGAGTACGGTTAAATTCAAAATGACATACAAAGGGTTCTTTTTTCCCTTTTTTTCTGCTGCTGTTACAGAAAATTTGAAAAAACAGGCAAAGGAATTCATACTCGCAACCTGTATATACCACATGCGATGACACTAACAGTAGGTTGCAAGCCACTTTTTAGCACACATCAAAATATAGAGGCTGCACCTTTAAGACTCATTTTTCCCCATTTTGTCGGGTCGATAGAGCAGGGACATGGGCATCCCCTAGGCTATTACTGAATCTGCCCTTGTATGTATGAAATTAATGTCGGGTTCTTAAGGGAAACAGCGCCTCTACACCTTGGTGTTGAGGAAAGGCTGCTAACGTTTTACCGTTCCCAGAACCCACTCCATGTGGGATTTACTGGTTCGTTTGGTTTGGTTTGATTTATGTACAAAATTGAACTTTTATCTTCCCATGGTGGTTTTTGTTGCGACTTTTATCTGATTATGCTGCATTATATTTTGATCCACAGATCTCGATGATACTAAAACGATAAGGAAAGCCGTGATGCACGAAGGTCCTCCTCGCTTTTTGAGGTAAGGGAGATTGTATTATGCAAAAAAGCTTTTTTCGTAACTTGTGACCTACTAATCGCAAATTATCTTGAATTCTTTATGTTTTGGTGATCATTCATTTCTAAAACCGATCATTATTGATCTATGCGAAAACAATAGAAATCTCTGAAGTGCTTCCTGTTCTTTTCGATTACTTTTGTGCTTACTTTGATGAACCAATGAAACATCCATAACTTGGTAGAGATGGGCAAAAACCGGTTATTATCTATCCTGGTCAAGAAAACACCACCACCGCATAACCAGTTATGACATAACCAACCTCATTTCCTAGCCCAAAATGTGTAACTAATAATGATCGTTTATTCTTAGGCCCTTTAACCGGTTCTTATGGCGTGTCTACTTTAATTGGTCTTTTTTGAAGTTTTAATACCGTTGATCAATGACGCAATGCCATGTGTGCTTCTTTCAAAAAATCCGTTCGTATATGGTCTCTTAACCAGTCCCTAGTCTTAATGAAATTCGGGTGTGGTCCAAGTTTGGATCCCAACCTTAACCAATAAATACTTGGTCGTTCAGGTAGCGTTTGGTACACAGACATAATTGGACAGGACAGAACAAGAGTATGTCTAGTGGTTTTTTTTTTATTAACCTGGATATCCAACCCGTTATACGAGTCGACTAATCACATGGCGACCACCTGCTTTGCAGATAGCCTAGAGTCACCACACTTGAACCTCCGTAGCCACAAAGGGGATTTTTATTTCTCCTTAGATTTGAACCTGAGACCTCCTGGTACTTTTGACCTTTGGAGCCAAGCTCAAACCAATCAGGCACCACCCTTGTGGTTAGTATGTCTAGTGTTTGGTACAACTAGAACTGGACGGGACATAACTAGACAAGCTACCCCCAAAAGGAATTTGATGAGGAGGTGGTGGTGGTGGTAGCCGGTGGTAGCGGTGGCCGAAACTAGCGGTAATGACCATTAAAACAAATATCATATTAAGGTTATATATCAGACTAAGGTAGATTAGTAATATTTTAGTTCTTGTTCCACCTATTTTGGTGGAAAGTCTCTTTTGTCCCAAGTTGTCCCACCTTGTTCCAGTTCTTGTCCCTGTCCCATGTCGCGCCAAACGTGGGACAGTGTTTTCTTGTTTTCCCCATGTTGCGCCAAACATGGGACACTGAGTTTTGTCCGGTCCTGTTTGGTCCCGTCCCATGTACCAAAAGCAGATAGTTTTGGAACCGGTGAAGCTTGCTAATTCCAAAAGGGTCTTAAAATCCAAACCCAAAGCCCATTATGATCGCACCACACCTGGTCTTAAAACTTGGTTAATTTAGTATATTGTTAGTGTTAATTTTTTTTTAATTTTCATCTAATTAAAACAAAGCATTTATAATAATTATGTTTTATTTGAGGCAAATAATTTAATGGAAATAATGTTTCTCAAAAATAAAATATTTGATGACAAAATTTAAACTTTTGTATTTTATTTAATTATTTTGTTTATTATATTTAGAAATAGGAAAATTGCACCAAAATGGAAAATTTTCACCAGATTCATATTTTGGGGAACCAACTTTTAAAATCGTCATTTTGGGAAACTAACTTGCACATGATTCCTATTTCGGGGAACCAACTTGCATATGATTCCTATTTTGGGGAACCAACTTGTAAAATAATTATATAAAATTAACTAAAATTTGTTTTTTTTCAAAAATAAATGCAATAAAATCTATTTTTCATTTCAAATCTCGATTTTTTTAATTCATATATCAAATTGAAGATTTTTTCAAAAAAAATCTAAATTACCACAATAATTTTTTTTTTACTAATGCAATAAAAAAATTAATTTAATAGAAAAAAAATTAATTGATGCAATAAAAAATAAATATTAAATATCACATTCAAGATTTTTATATCTAACCAATCCGTATCAATATTAAAGTTTAAATCAAATTTGGCAAATCAAACCAAAAGTTTGATAGAGACCCTTAAATTACCTGTTACTTGTTCAACAGATCAACCAGACCCTTAAATAAACAAAAAGTTTGATAGAGACCCCTAAATAACGATTTTGAAAGTTAGTTCTCCAAAATAAGAATCAGATGAAAGTTGGTTCTATTTTGATGCAATTTTCCCTTTAGAAATATGTCTGTGCTACCAAATTTTATTGATCAAGGATAGAAACCAAACCAAATCTTAAAAAAGAAAGTGAAGGAAGAGGTCAAATCTATGTTTACTCACAATCTCTTTCAACTCAATCTCAATTAAAATATTGTTTTCTCTTTCATCGACCTACACAATCTTTAACTCAAATCTAATCTCACTTATTTTTTTCATTTACGGTGATCCAATCCAATAAAATATATAATTTTGTAAAAATTATATATTTTATTTTTTATCATATATAATTATTATTTTTTAATTTTAAATATGAAAAATAAATTAAACGGATTATTGTATATTTTAAAACGTAATTATAACTATAAAAAATTTATCATACAATTAAAACTAAGGGGGTGTTTGGGATTGCTTATTTTATCTGCTTATTGACTTATTTCAGTCTGGCACCGATGATAAGCTAATACCTAGTGTTTGGATAAGAAAAAAGAAAACTGCTTATACCGGTGCCAAACCGGTAATAAGCAGTTTTTGATAAGTTAATCCGTCCTGACTTATGAAAAACTGCTTATTATCAGTTTACCATTTTAACCCTATTACTCTTTATACCTATCTTTTTTCCTCCAGATAACATCGATCTCAATCTTCTCCCTTCTCCATGTAACAACATCAATCTTCTCTCTGTCATTTTTGGTCATTTTACAGATATAAGCAAAATTTGCCAAACACTAAAAAACAACTTATCAGCTTATTACAGTTTGGTACCGCTGTAAGCTAATTCAAACACTTTTTACAAAACTCCAATTTGATACAACATAAGTTAATAAGCACTTTTACAAAAAAACATAAGTTGTTTTAAATAAGCAATCCCAAACACCCCCTAAATAAGACAAGTCATAAAAGTATGTAAATACATCAATAGTGTGCTCTAACTATGAATTTTGGTATGTTTTTTAATTTTTAATTTTTTTGTTAAAATCACTTTTTAATTAGATAAGTTTTATTTTTAAAATTCTTTAAACCAACCAATAAACAAACGCCGCATGTCAGTTTTTCTAGTAAAAAGTGCCTCAATCTTGGATTGGTGACTGAGAATGATTGGTAGAGATTTGTTCTTTTTTGTCCCATTCATAATCTGGTTGTTCGGATTGTGACTAGAGATAGTCTTATAAAAATTAAAAATGATTTGATGGATCAAATCTATTACATTAATCAAAAGTAATTTGAAAGACCAGATCTGTTATAAAATAAAAACTAGTCTAAGAAACCAAATCTGTTATTAAAACTAGAAAAGTATTCGTGCAATGCAGCGAGATACATCTCGATTTTAATGTTCTATTTTATTATTTGTCTTTGTCGATGTTATAATACGATTTTTATGTGTTTTTAAGAAAACAATAATAATTTTATTTTTGAATAAAATATAAATTTAAAGATATCATAAAAATTTGAAAAAAAAATATCAATGTTAATATCAAAATCAACTATTTAAAATCCTTATTTTTTATGTAATTTCTTTAATTTATTTTTTTATTATAATTTAACAAAATAATTTATTTTTGGTTTAATAATATAAYWTTTTATAAAKATAATAATTAAGTATCTTGTTAGAATTCAATGATTATCCTAATTATATTTTAGATTTTTTATATTTAAAATGAGATGTTTATCCTGTATTTGATTATGTTTATCTGCAGTTAGTTACACGAATTCAGATATGGAGCTTTAATAATTGTACTTACGCACAATCTACTTGCAATCTTGAGTTTTAAGTAATATACATTAATAAACAGTATTTTACGTATAAAAAATGGTTTTTAAGATTTTTTGTCAAATACCTTATAATATAATATAAATTCTCTTCGGTAACGGAAACTTGATAAACAAATTGAAAAGAGGCACATGGCCTCCGATAATTGATGAAGGGAAACACCCTTCTTTTATGATCACGTTTGACCATTTTATATCTTTTTTATTCCTTCAAGAAGATATGTTTAGTCAACAAGACTCAATGCCAGATTTTGATAGCATCAATAATGATTCCCAACAAATTTTTTGGTGTTTAAAAAAAAAAATTAAAGATTCTGATAAACAGTGAAGGTGACGACTCTCACTTGATCAGTACTTATCGATCTAGTCAGATATAATGGTGCTCACTGAGAATCTTAATTGATAAAGTGAGGGCGATGACTTTTACCTGCCCCCAACACTTGTTGCCACCACAGTTATGTGGAATGCATGCTTTAGCGTTTGGCGTTTACTGAGTCACAAGATGAATAAAGGTGGTAACTCTTACAGATAAAGCGTCGTCCGAAGGAACCGACAAGAAAATCTGATATACAAATAGCCAAACATACAGACAAACTTGCAATCATACAGTAACGGCTTCGATTTACTCCGCGACATACATAAATGAGCGTTATACTGCGCCAATAAACATAAAAAGAAACCTTATGGCTTCGTTACATTTGAAAATCGGATCTTGACCCTACTCGTCATATCAACTTACAGGAGAGCTATACGACAATGACAATCGAATCATATAAAATTCAACTCCCAACTGCATACGCATACACATCGCTAACTCGTAAAAACCCCCGAATAAAAACGACAACTTATTCACCAACCAACCCACTCGACCATCTTATCTACAACGATAAACCCAAATCAGACATACTTCAACTTGTCTCATTCTGCCTGATAAACGGTGGTGAGCTTACATCTGTCGTGCTATAAAACGAGTCCTCGGCGCCATTATAATACGTCTCTTCCTTCTCGTAGTATTTTAAGATCTCGTGAATGTATTTAAAAGCTTCGTCTACCGTCACTCGGTCGCGGGCCCGGGCCTGCCAAACGAAGAGCTTTCGGGGGGTGAGCGACGCATATAGGTCCTTAAATTTCATGGCCACATAGTAATAGGCTTGGTGGGCTAGGTTTTGGTTGTTGGTGTAGGGTCGAACCGGGCTGAAATCGGTGAACCAGTCGCACGCGCTTAGTGGTGTTTGTCTGAGTTTGTCTTCAAAGAGATCGTACTTGTTGAGAATCAACACAAAAGGGGTGTCTTTAAAACACGGGTGCTTGATCATGGCTTCGAAAAGTTCTTTGCTTTGGACCATCTTGTTTTGGAGGAGTGAACCGCTTCCGGTGGTGTCAGGTGATAGCCACATTTGATCGTAGTCACTTAAGGCGACACAGAAGACGACTACTCGAACGTCCTCGAACATTTCCACCCATCGACAACCTTCATTCATTCCCTTGGCGTTTACACGAATGAGTTGATATCTAATAAAATGATAGCAACGATATAAGGAACATGACACGAAGAATGAAATCAAATAGCGAGAGTACACTCAAACCAAACCAAACTCAACGAGCCCAGTATAAAACCAGGCGGGCCCAATATTAAATGCAAACAAACCCAATACATCATACCCAGGGTGGGATCTAGGAGGTAAGATGAACGCAAACCTTACCTCTGTCCAAAATGAGCCACTATATCCCACCAAAAGGTGGGGTCGGGGGTCAGATATATACGTATGCATACCTATCGTCTACCCCAAATAGTAGAGCGAAATAACTAGTGGAGGCATGCATGTTTATTTGAGAACCGTAAATATTTAGAGAACTTATTAATGATGAATAGTATTCATGAATATTTAGGTATAATGATCATGATTAATTCATGAATGGTTGGTTGGTTGGTTCTCACGGTTCTCAAAATATTTACGGTTCCTAAGTAAATTTTCCACATAACGACTGTATCCAGAGTATAATTACCTGGTAAGAGGTTGGGATTGAGCATCGAGATTGTCCGTATATGTCTCGGACATCGGGCTACGATCATCGAGGGAGAATTCTATGAATGCCAAGCCATTCCCTTGGGTGACTCCTTCGGCATATAGTATGTCATGTTCCGAAGGTTCATATTCATTGCTAGAAACCTCAACGGCCTGAAACCGACACATGAAATTATTGAATGTTATTTTTCATGGATACCCCTAAGTTTTGCAAAGATTGCTAGAACTCATTTAGTGAAGTTTTATGTATGCCCTTCGTCCAAAGAAATTGTCCGACTATTTGTCAAATGTCTAAAATACCCTTCAACGAAGACAAGATAGAGCAAACTTGTGGACTTAGGTCAGCACCATCAATCTGTTTTTAGTAGTGACAAAAGGGCAAACAGGTAATTTCAACATGAGACCATTTCGAAAAGAAAATGGCAACTTTATGGAACAACTCGTGAAGGAAAATGCCGCCATTTCATAAAATAAAGGAGCATCTGATCGTGTATAAAAACCGTCCAAAAGATTGCCTTTAGAGTACTCGGCGAAGGATTGTGTGAGAAGGAGAGTTAAGGTGAGAAGCGTAAGAAGGGGTCTAGACCCTCGATCACCTTTAATCTCAAACCCACCCATGGATAGCGCTTGATACGGGGATTGCTCCAGTGCATCTCATCTTGGTGTATCTCATCCTACTGTGCATCTAAGGATAGAGGTCCCTTCTTACGCTTCTCACCTTAACTCTCATTCTCACCGGAACCCGACCCTAGAGTACTTCCAGAAATTAAAATGGACCTTTTTTGGGACGAAAGAGAGCTTTATTTGTCAGATAAACGCGACCCACAATCACATTCCCATTTTTCACATCAAATAACACAAGACGAAGATATTGAAACGAAATGGTGAATACGAATTGACCAAAATTGATTCGAGAAATGATGAAATACCCGGCTTAAGAAATACTCTGCAACATCAGGAAGGAAGTGTAGCTCGTTTCTCCTCTTATACGTTTCCTGGATGGCAGGATCCTTCCACACCTCTTCGACTAGCGGAGCATACTCCCGTGTTGCTGCAGGGAAAAACGCATCCAAATCTCCGGTAGCAATGATATCAAGAAGCCAATCAGAAAAATGCTTCAATCTCGGGTTAAGGGAGTAGACACAGTGAACAGTTTCTTCAGCATCAGCCTCGTTTCCTGAAATGAAACCGGTCGGTTAATGATATCGTCACTGTAGACTAGTGTCTTTATGGACCTATTTTCTCCTGAAACTTCTGAAGTATGTTCTATATCCCACTAGAAGGTAGGGTCCGGGACCATATCTCGAGGTTGTTTCCGTGAAGACTATGTTTTATCGTGCATATACTAATATATAAATGAAGTCATTTGATATAAATAACGGAAGCCCGCACGAGCCCGTACCATATACCTAATATGGAATTAAAGAAATTATGAGCGATGTATGGTTGGTAGATCATTTAGATTTAGCTGAGGGTCTTCACGGAAACAACCGCTCCATTCTTTGAGGCAGATGACAAGTCTGTTTACATTTCACCCTGTAGACCCTACTTCCGAGTTCTAAATGGGACATAGATATTAGATATAACCATCACAAGGGAAGGGAATTAATAGCTCATCAAACACTTGTGAACCCTTTTATATGATGCAAAAAGTTCCTATTTGAGGAGAACGAAATGTGGTTGTGGGTCCCATTCGCAAGAAGAAACGAAGATGGGACCCACACCAAGGAGCGGAAATGGAGGAAAAAGGTATCACATCTTAGCTCCCAAAAAGTTACGATCCAAAAGTCATAACAAGTAATCAACCCTTAGGGATAGTACAACAGGTAAGATGGGGTGTTCGCCCTCAAACGGCACCAAATGCGGTGCGGTTTATGCGGTTTGTCCCTATCGCATTTTATGCCTACAATCCAATACTTATAAGTTTAAAAATACATTATAAAATCAACGATAAAGTGACCGTAGTCTAAAAAAATAAAGAATTTAAATACATCCAATTCCTAAATACATATCTGTATAACTAAAAATAGTACAAAACTATTAAGTTAATTGATTAATATTGCCAATTGGATCAAACTCAAAGTCCAAAAATATTACATACTAAATTATATTTATATATATGTGTATATGTATATGTATATGTGTGTGTATGTCATATAATATTTAAAAAAAAAAAACAAAATATGTGGTGCGGTGCGGTTTGGACCACGGTTTGGTAACTCAAAACAGCAAACCGCACCGCATAGTGCAGTTTGGTAAAAATACAAACTGCAAACCGCGCTTTGCGGCGCGGTGTCGGCGTTTGGGCGGTTTGGATGAAAACCCCTAGGTAAGACTAGGGTTTGCTCTAGAGTGGTCACCAGTTTTTTGAGTCACCTCAGGGCCATTGGAGGTTTAACTTCAGGGCCTCATGGGATTGGTTGAGTTGCGCACAAGCTGGCTCAGACACCCACGATTATCCAGATAAAAGGTCATAACATGTAATCGAGTCACAATAAAAAGACTCTATGCAAAAAGATAAGGAAGACTGTGTTTGACGACTTCTCTCCCCACCCACCCCATGCAATTGTGCAGCGGAGTTGCCCTTTGATTAAATAAAGGTATGTCAATCTTCAAGGTGAAACATGATAATATGTTTGACTTTAGAAAGTCAAAGATACCTGTTTCATTGGATTGATCATGGGATTCAATGGAGTTCTTCTTCATCATCGCTTCTTCCTCAAAGCGCTCCCTTCCGTCAAGTAGAATGCTGAGGTATCTATACATGTTGCTCTGAATCATAAGCTTAATATTTTGCAACTCTTCATCACTAAATCTGTTTCCATATAAGAATTTTGCCTGCAACAAGCATAACAAAATATAGCATCGTCTTTAAGTATATAGTGAAACGAAGCACCCATTTTAAATATACGAATATTTTGGTTTTCATGAAGGAGTTTTCGGTAAATCTATCATGTTTCTCTGTTCTCTATTCTTGATTATGTAGGTCTCATCTTCCTTTTTCGTTATATCAAGTAAACAAGACCCAAAGGCACGACTTTCTTGCTTCCAACATCATATAAATGGGACCAACAAAATGAAAAATGCTAAATGACTAAAATATATAGAAAACCGAGACATTCTTGCTCATAACATAGTGTAAGATACCAAAAGGTCATTGACGTAGCTGTATCCGAATTATGGAAGGTCAAGGGTTCAAACCTCACCCGGAAGTGGGGTCTGATGAGGTTAAGATGTAGGCAGATCTGACCTCTATCCCAAATAGTAGAGCGGGCTTTTTTGGGTTAACCCGAGAAATGGCTTAGAATCTAATCTTGAATTCCTAAGTTTCGTTTCTTTCTATGCGACTGGATCAAACAACTATTTGCAAGAAAAAACAACTTTTTGAGAAATTTTGAAATGAAATACCTGCTTAAAGATTGTGCTGGTTCCAGATCCCTCAAGTCCAAGTAACAAAAGCTTTTGAATCTTTTTGGGCTCAAAGTAATTGGGAACAGTAGTATAGTTGCTGGCTTCATCCCTCTCTCGTTGAGGTTGACCATGTGGCACAGGCAATGATAATAACGTACAAAGAAAACGTGTTGTAGCCTGTCCAAAAACGCGTTATCATAAGCATTTTCATACACGCTATCAACCAACATTTGCGAGACCCATGAGTTATTTTATATATATACCTTTTCCCAGATATTTCCCTTAATATTGTTCTGGCCTTCCTCCTCATAACGACCATCATCGTACACCCAAAAATGAGTGTCACGAGGACACTGCACATTTGCCAGCTGAAAGAAACCAATACAACATATCTCAGAAGAACAGAAGAAATCATATATTATTGGATTCATAGATTTGGTGTTGTTGACCATCAAATTACTTTCTTGAGAGATAAGTGAAGATATTGAATCTTTTTGTGCAAAAGGGTTTGTAACCGGCAAACCCCAGCGGGCCCGCAGCACCCCGCCCCAACAACATGATGTGAGAGGCAATCAGGCAGTGGCCGATCCAATTTTGTTGGTGGGGTCGGAACCAACTATGCTATGCTCTGGGGGGCAACCGGCAAACTCAAACCCTTGCCTATTTGTACAGTTATACCATCCCGGGACCAACTATGCTATGATCTAGGGGCAACATATCAAATCTATGATGCATGACTTGAAACCCGTCATAACAATGATTGTGAACTACTTCCCTATGAATAAACATCACGAGTAGAACTAAAAACAAAAACGGGACCATTTGCATCTTAAAGATCGATAAATACATTTAAAAAACTAGAGAAAGACACAAAACAATGCTGTCGGGGAGAATAAAAAAGTTAACCTTCAGCACTCTCAGCTCACGGCTAGTAATTTCTCGACCATTCATATAAACTTCTGTGTTTCCATTGCTTGCAGTTGGACTAAGTTTCCCAGTAAAATTCAAGTTTGAACTCACAACCCTATCGGGTTTATCTCCCTCCTAAAAGATTGAAACCAAAATATCAGAATCTTTACGAGCAAAAATAAAGAAACTCACTACACATTAAAAAGATGGCACTTTTACCTTTCCCCAAAGACCAGATTCTTTATCATACCAGTACATTCCAGGTTTTAACTTTCTTGGGGGCAATGGGCACCCCAAAAGTTCAGCCATTTCATCAGGTTTAAGCGGAAATCCGTTAACAATCAACTGCTCAGGCCGAAGCTGATTAGCAGAACATTCTTTTTCCGCTTTCATAATCTGTTTGACTTCCAAAGGACTAAGCAAACGAGATAATAACCGCGAATGCTTGCCCAATGTTAGCCGTTTTGACTCATCAATCGCCTCACCAATACAAGTAACACACTTTCGGCCTTCTGGCATCGATCCCATTGCTCTAAGAACACAATTACTACAATATTTTGCATCACAAACCAAACAAGATTCTTTCGTTTCCCATTTTCCTTTCCCACATCGATAACAAACCCTTCTTTTCTTCTTTTTCTTCTTCTTTTCCTTGGAAACCGCCACATATTCTGGATAAGCCGGCCTCTCTAAATCCACTTCTTTCCCTTCTGGTCTATCAATCGTGTTAAAAGTGACCGCTGGAGCTCTTCTAACGTCATTGCCGTTAGGATCATTCCGTTGGTTCTGAACAGAACCAGGAGACGCCGAAGGCGAAGCAGAGAAAGAATCCGCGTTACGCAAAACTGAAACAACAGATTCAGAACTCCCCGATAATCTTGGACTTTGATTGGGTGAATCTGCTACACCAGCAATATACGAAACGGGCAAAGGGATGGGTTCAATTACGGGTGGACCATCTCGTGTGATGGATCTTCTTGAATCTGAAAAAGATTCAGCTACAGATGCAGTTGGAATTGATCTTGGATTTACATCTAAAGGCTCTACCCTAGGAAGCTCATAAGAGACATCAGGACCCATATATTCTAAGGCAATTGAGTAATCTTCTTCACAATCTTCAGGCAGTGAAGCACCAGGAGGAAGCATCTTCTTCACCACTTCTCTCCAATTTTTTGCCCCATTTTCCTCCATATCCCTCATACCCAAATTCTTCCAAAACTAACAAAAAAGGAACTCAAGAAACGAATATCGAATCAAATTAGGTCTTCATATTCATCGATTTTCAAACACCCAATACAGAATTCGATCAGTTAGTAAAATACCCAAATCGGATGAAAGAAGAAGAATACCTCAATTTCACAGCAAATCCGCGATGGGTTTTGGCTGAAGTCAATATCTCCTCATATTCAACAGCCAAAAAGGGGAAAATGGTTGCAACCAATCCGAAACAAGGCCCCACCACACACCGCAAAAAGGAATCAACCAGTTTTGGGACACATCGCACAAATGAAAGTCAAAGTCTTCATCATATCTGTCAAAGTCCAACTTTTTTCGATCTTCAAAAGCCTTCAAATTTGAACAGAAAGATTAGAAACAACTAATCAAACACAAACAAGAAACAACCCAAATGAAGAAACCCACAACTTGAGACCTAAATTCACAAGATTTCAGAGATTCAAATCCAAAACCTAAAGAAAATGACAGGTTTCTGAACCAATTACGAGCATAAAAATATGAGAATCAACAGAGGATAAAGATTTTGTCAGCAACAAAGATGGCAAAAAAGGAATAAAAAGACCTACTTTGGAGCAAGTATGTGGTCTTTTAGAAAAAAGAAAAGAGTAAAGGGTATGTGAAGGAAAGCAGATAAAAAGGGATGAGGGGCGTGCGTGTACACTGTAGAAGATAAATGTATTTTTAACTGAGAAAGTGACGAGCAAAGGGAAGATGAATCTGAAAGCTATTTACTTTTTAACCTTTTGGGTTTCTGAAAAAAATAATATCAACTGTGGGGTACTGGTAAAAAGCTTCATAGGGAACAACCCCACCCACCATTGGAGGAGAGAATAGATAGATATACACATATACATACAAACCTCTGTGTGTGTTGTGTGTGTGTAAGTGTGTGAAAGAGAGAGAGAGAGAGAGAGAGAGAGAGAGAGAGAAAGAGATGGTTATGGGTAATGGGGTTTGTGGAGACCATCTTACGTTGGTAGATAGTGTAATGTGTCATAACCATTATTTTTGGTGTCTGAAATAATTGCAGTTTTTATCCCAGTATACCTTGTAATGTTTCTAAAGTTGTACAAATATCAATTATTTCATATTCTTTGTTAAACAATTTGAATCATATTTCATGAAATCATGTGGTTTTGAATTTTTGGTGAGTGTTTTTTTATAAGAAAAATATAACGTTACTTTTTAGTCATAATTTTTTTTCTGGGTAATTCTGGGTTTCTGCAGGGATGGATCCAAGAATTTTTTTCATACAGTCGCACCTTTTAAAACGGTGGCATGATGTCTTCTAAAACAATACGGTTGTATATTTCACAAACCTAAAAGTTTTTAGCTTACGACGGAGAGACAATACGGTGGCACACCACACTAAGTCTGTCCCTGTGTTTCTGGGCTAGCCTACGCGCATCGACTAATCCTCGGGTGACCACGGAGGATAAGAAGGAGGGTAGGTTTGCCCAATGTATAGATGATAGATATATCTGACTTTCTTCAATCAATCATGCCAGGTTGAGTAAGACCAAGCCTATAAGATTCGGATGGGTTGGATGTTTGGATATTCTTTTCTTTCTTCTAGTAGGGTGACCATTGGCTTATATGCCGACCCTAAGTGGTACGGTTGGTCCCAATCTGCGTCCCGGGGTGCTGAAGTGGACTACCAAGCGATGGAGTGGGTGACCCCTCGTTCTTTCTAGTGGCTTTTTCCCGTCCCTTTTGGGACCATTCACCCTTTTCCCAACCAAGCATAGGTAGAAGCCCTCTTTCCCATTATTGTGCCGGCAGGCCCTAGCTTGCTGCTACAGTCAAGAGTAGTGAAAGTGGAGCAAGAGAGGAACAACTAGGAGAGCAGCTACTTCTGAACTTTCTAGCAACAAGCCCCTTCAGGGGGCAGTAATCTCCCTCCTAACGTCGACCATTGACATCATGGCAGATGAACTTCCATGGCCACAAGGATTTTGGTAGCGTCTAAATTCGAAGTTGAGCAAGATGAGATTTTCACTACATCTCCTTGAACCTAAACTAGTGCGACACAACCCAAGTGGTACAGTCTGATAAATTGTGAGATATTTTTGTATTAAGAAATACATTATTTTGTCATATAAAGATTTTAAATCTATTAAAAGGTCGTGTGTTTAAAAATTATGATAACTAGTGTTCAACATCGTATGTTGCACAATGCTGCAAATTAATTGCATCTGGTTTTATTGAATTTTTTAAATAAATGGACAAGCATTTTGACATCAAGGTTGGATAAACAAAATAACATCATAATTCAAAAAATTTAACACTCAAATCTTAATATACCGTTTAAACATCTACATTCTTCCTTTTTATATATAAACTAGAAGAGTAGAAGAGTACGCGCAATGTAGCGAGATACATCTCGATTTTAATGTTCTATTTTATTATTTGTCTCTGTCGATGTTATAATACGATTTTATGTGTTTTTAAGAAAGCAATAATGATTTTATTTTTGAATAAAATATAAATTTGAAAAAAAATATATCAATGTTAATATCAAATCAACTATTTAAAAGTTCTCATTTTATATGTGATTTCTTTGATTTATTATCATTTAATTTAAGTTTAATAACAAAATAATTTATTTTTGGCTTAATAATATAACATTTTATAAAGATAATAATTAAGTATTCTGTTAGAACTCAATGATTATTCTAATTATATTTTAGATTTTTTATATTTAAAATGAGATGTTTATCCTATATTTGATTATGTTTATCTGCAGTTAGCTACACGAATTCAGATATAGAGCTTTAATAAATTGTATTTACGCACAATCTATTTGCAATATTAGTTTTAAGTAATATGCATTAATAAACAGTACTTTACGCATAAAAATTAATTTTTAAAAGTTTTTGTCAAATGTTTTATAATATAACTAGTTGTATATCCGCACAATGCGGCGGGAGCCATGAATTTTAACGATTTTGAAGTTCCACTGGTTTTATAAGATAAGATTTAACGATGATATATGTTACACTTGGTCTTTACATATTAATACAATTTGAATAAATAAGAGTTATGGTTCCAATTACATACTATCGATGAAAAAAATTGTATGACGGTTTAAAATCCAATATATTTAAAATCCAACATATTTAAACGACAACACAAATGTGTTAAATTTACACCAAGAGCAAATAACCAAGAAACTGGAGCTTTAAGATAAACACTCAAACCAATAAAGAAAACGACAAATTTGACAGATCATAAGCCATGAAAAGACCAAAAAAGATGGGTTTTAGAATGAAATTTCAACTGCTTACCCTCTTTCTTGTCCAGAAACTCAAATTAAGGTTGAATTAATACATGTATAATTATATTTAAAAAAAAAACCCAATAACATATTAATTCAGAACATATTATACAGTGCAATTTGGACAACCTAACCCCAAAATATATAGTATATGTATAAATAAATAACTATAAAAGTATAAATCGTAAATATTAAAAAATATTTTTTTACAGTATATATAACATATAATAATATAATTAAGTAAAAAACTATTCAATATTGGACTCATTTCGAAGGTATTAACGAGACGATTATAATGGTGTAACTTGTTAAAATAAAAATGTATTTTTTAAACATGTTTTAATCGTATATATATTAATATGATAAAGGTTTAAAATGAAACATTTAAAAGTAAAGGACGTAAAGTAAATTAATTAACTAATTATAAGGGTATAAAGTGTAAATTTAAAATTATAATTTAAAAAAAATCGGTTGTGAGATGATGAGTGTATGTGAGAGAGTGAGTGTATATGAGGAGTGGAGGGGTGAAAAAGTGAAAAAAATGATATAAAAAATATCTTGGTCATTTAGTATTTTAAGACTTTTATTAAACTTGTTTTATAAAATAGTATAGATTTACATATTCAATTAAATATTATTATTTTTTATCAATTTTTTGTGCAAGATATGATTGGGAGGCATATTTTAGCCAACCAATCATTTTAATTTTTAAAGGCTTATCTCCTCCTTTCATATATCTGTAATTATTTTTTTCAATCTTTTATCTCTTCATCAATGTAAGATAACGTAAACAATATCACAATTTAAATATCATAATACCTTTCTTACATCTGTCATTTTTCTTTTATATATAAAAAGATTTTCAATCTATCATATCAGTATCAATATGAATACAAAATCAACACCACAATTAAATATTTTTAATACTCAAATCCTATTAAAAAAATACCTAAAATGTCCGGAGGATGGTGGCCGCAGAGAAAGAAGAGAAAATACCTAAAATGTCCTTGAATTAAAATTTTAATTCAAAATTACCAAAATTATAAATTTCCTAATTTATCTATTGATTTGTGGTTGAGATTAGATCTTACGGTTACCACAAAACTAGTTAGTTTTCTATTAAATGAGCCTATATATATATATATATATATATAGAGAGAGAGAGAGAGAGAGAGAGAGAGATTTAGGTTAATACAAGAACAATAACTAAATAAGAGAATAAAAAAACGGTCAAATCACATGTGATTTTACACAAAATCATGTATAAAATCGCATGTCATGAGACTTTGCCCAGAGCCTAAGGTTGCGGCCAGAGTCACCCGCACACCCTTTTGTTGATCGTTAATGTAAAATCATATGTGATTTTGTACGTCATTTGTCTATTTTCGTATTATTTTATTTAGATATTGTTCTCATTTGAACCTCTTATATATATAGGGGCATGTTCAAATGCAAACCATCCAATTCTAAAAAACCGTGTAAACCAATTTCGACCAATAAGAAAATTCTATTTTTTTTAATTAAATTTAATTGATAAGGGTATTTATGTCATTTTACACACTTTTTTGATAATTACGGAAGTTATTAATACATTTTATTTAAGGCAAT